ACTAGGCACAAAGTCTTAGCGACAGCTGAAGGGCGGAGCGAAAGCGCTACAGCGCGAGAGGGTGGGCGGTCTATACATAAGTAACGAGCAGTGTCTTATACAGGTAACGAACAACATCTTGTACAGGTAACTAGCCTATCTAGAATGTGTAAATGCGACCCGCTACCAGATACAGGTGAGGGCATGTTACCTGTAATCTGATGTTTTCGTGTTGTTCAAAAATCATCTGAGGGATTTTCTGAAAGTAAATGTGTCGGATGCACTGCGTATCCGGTGGGAAAATGCGAGGGAGGAGAAAACGGGGAGGGAGGGGAAGGGGAAGCTCAGGAAAACAGCTGTTGAGTGGATTCATTACCACTGAAGGGAAGGGATTTTTGGGTAAAAAACCTGGAAGTAGGAACTGGAAACAGGGGCGAGTTTATGTGAAGGAAGTAGAGAAGATGGGGGAAATTACAAGGGTTTTTTATGTTCAGCATAAAACTTGAGCCTGAGGGGAAGTCAGCAATTTTGAATGCAACATCTGAAACTGGGCCTACGCGAAAAAGACCCGGTATCGCTGTTTTTGCAGCTCGAACCCGAACCCAAAAATAATCAGTGCATATTGGACGATTAAGCCGAATTTTAGTAGTTGCCAGCCTCTTTTCAGGCCTAACACGTTTGGTACGGGATGGGGGTACAAAGAAGCGGGGGAGGGGGTAGTTTTAGGGAGACCCAAGTGCAACTCCTGGAATGTGTCTCGGTGATGTGCCGCGGTGTTTTGGTGTTCTTAACACTGAGCTGCTGTTGATACGTGGCCTTGTTCTGTGTGCATCTACTAGCACATTTCCCGGTGCTGTTGCATCGTCTAGTGCTCAGTGTTTGTTTGGTGACAGTAGGAAATAATTGGCCAGCGCACGGGCTGCCCATGCGAAGATGCGTTTTTTGCATAGTTCCCCGCAGTTTTTGTCACTACCGGCACCGGTTTTTTCGGCAAATGCTTCTAGCTAACCAAATTAAGACTGGCCGCCAGAACTGTCAGAAAACATCCACTTAAAATTTCAGCTTTCTAGTCTTCCTGGCTCCTTAGTTAACAACTCACTGGAAAGAAACTTCCACGGGCCCGCACGTGGATACCACGCTTACTCGATGTCTGGGTTTGAGTAAGCGTGGTATCCACGTTCGTTGAGACTTGGACGGGGAACTTCTTCTTAAAACTACAGTCTTTTAGCTTTTCAGGTTTTCGAATTATGAACTTACCCGAGGAAAATTTTGGTGAACCCGTTCGTAGGTATCACACATGACCAAGGGCTATGTTGAGACTAAGGCGGATGGGGAACATCCTCTTAAAATTTCAGCTTTCTAGCTTCTCAGATTCCCGAGTTGCGAATTTACCTGGAAAAAATTTTGGCGGACCCGTACGCGGGTACCATGCTTACCCGGAGGCTGGGTTTGAGCTCATTAATACCTACATGGACAGGGAATATCCCCTTAAAATTTCAGCTTTTTAG